GCGTTGTTCACGGCATTGGACTGCAGCGAAAAATGATTCCCCCATCATTAATGGAACAGGCCCACAGGCTCAGCTTGGCTGATTAGTTTTGATTTACATTTCGCAAGTCTAGTGCCATACGCAGCAAAAGTCCGTTTCTAGTGTTGTTGTCAAATGCATTTCATAACCAGGCTGGTTTTTGATTTACGTTTTGGAATAGAATTTGGAGAGGGCGTTTGATCAAGTCAGACCTACATTTTGAATTTGAATTACATTTTTAAGAAATTAGAACTACATTCTTTAAAATTTGAACTACGTTTTGAAAAATTAGAACTTCATTTTGGGAAACTAGATCTAAATTTTGAGAAATTTACGCCTACGTTTTGATAAATTATACATTGAATTTTGCAATTACATTTTGATTTTAACATGGACTTTTGCTGCGTATGGCACCCCATACCTACGAGCAGGCTACGAGAGGTTACGCGCAGATACGAAGCGATATTTCCTCTCTGTACTGTAGGTATGCAACTGCAACTAACTACATATATATTACATCAGTTGTGGTGCATTAAAGTGCTTGCTTTGAATATTGATCTAACCCGGTCCCGCCAAAAGTAATTATTTTGGGGTAAGGGGTATCATTTAATAAAATTTACTGCTAAATCCCTGAATATATATTGATGTAAATCTGTCATTTGAGTTCTCATTATATCATCCAGCATCTGTGAAAAAATAATTGAAAAACTATTAAAAACAAAAAAGTTATGATGTTTTAATGGTGCAGATAATGGAAAAGGTCCCACAATTTGTATAATGCCTGTAGCCAAATTTTCAGCAAAATTAAAATTTTAAAAAAATCATAGAAAATCAACCAAGCAACCAAATTTAATTCTGAAAACGTTTTTGATGTTGTAACATTTAGTAGATTTTGTGCTATGAAAATGGTAGACATCCAACCAATTTGATTTTTTTTTTGTAACGTACCTACGCTAGACAAGACAAGAACCTGCCTTGGCTAGCCACTTTTAACCTGCTAGGACCTAGGCTATTTTAATTAATCTACTACAGGGTAGTAGCCTATATGTACTTAGCCTAGAGAGGTTAGCCGGACATAACATAGGCTAGGCCTATGTTTAAAACAAAATTAGGCCTATCTATATTTTTACTTCCAGGCCTTCAGTTTAGGCCTAGGCCATATGCCTGGCTAGGCTAGAGCCTGGGGTCATTCTGATCCGAGAAGTGAACATTTTTAGGCCTAGCTATGGCCTTCCCTAGGCAAGGATAGTGTTTTAGAAAATCATGTTTCACTTTTGCATTATTAATATTATTTAATATTCTTATATTATATTCTTAATAATAATAATATTAAATGATCAAAGAATTTTATCTGGTCTGGTTAATAACATAAGCTATGCTTGTTATTATTTTGGTTTTAAAAAAATTGTATAATATAATTAAAGATACCAATGTTATTTCAAATTATCAATATCATTAAAATTTTGTTTTTTAATATTATAATAAGATATTTATTATTATTATTATTATTATTATTATTATTATTATTATTATTATTATGAGTATTATTATAAATAAGTATTATAATTACCATAAATTATTGTTTTAATAATATTATAAACTATTGGTATTATCATCATTATTATTGTTAATCTGAGTATATTATTCTCATTAAGTAGTATTTATTATTTATAATTGAACTTATTGTTTAATTATAATATTATAAACTATTATTATGATTAATTCAAATTGTTATTATGATAAATTAAATTAATTTCATTTAGCTGCAAGTGTAGCATAATAATATAATATTGAATATAAAAGATATTGGTAAGAAATAACCATTATTTTCTTGCATAATGACATTGAAATTTGATATTATATTTTTATTATTATTATACTGCATGCTTATATTATTATCAGTTTTAAGCTTTATAAATTATGATTGCAGGGCTTAAGCTGGCAAAAAGAAATATTCAGCAATTTTTTGGCTATTTTGGTATGAAAATAATTAGCCAAATAGAAATTGCTGAGCCTATATGACAAGTCATTACTAACCTCCAGAGCTACATACTGCAGGCCTTTAGAAGATAACTAAAACTAAACATACAGTATAATATAATTAATATTAAACCTAAAATTGAAACTACCTCAACCTAAAACTGAATATAATAATAAACATACTGTAGTTTATTTCATAAAGGAGCATTCGATAGTTAAAAACTTAACTCTGATGTTAAAACTGCTTCAACACTGCATTTATTTCAACGAAACTTTAAGATTTTATATTAATCTGCAGCCTAACTTTGTGCAATATAAAGTTTTGTTTATTTTCTATTCATTTTTCTTTTTACAAATGTATTTATAACAGTATGTTGTAGAGTAGGTATAGCTATATTTAAAAATGCTTTATTTTTGTTTATAATAAAATTGTAACTTGATATTTATCTTCAGGGGATCAAGTAAAAGCAAAGTACAACCATATGAGAGACAGCTACCGAAAATTTTTAGAAAAGATTCGAAAATCAACACGTAGTGGAGCAGCAGCAGTTTTTGTGAAGCCCTATAAATGGTCAAAACAACTCCAGTTTTTAATACCTCATTTACAACCCAGAAAGTAATTACGATTGATTTTGAATTAAATATGTTCACTGACCTTGAAAAAAACCCCAAAAAATATCAATTCCAGTGGAGTAGTTTAAAAAAAATTAATTATCAATTGCTAATACAGTAGAACCCCTATTAAGGGGACACCTTAATAGGGGTGTCCCCTTAAAAGGGTTTACCCCTGTTCATGGGACACTACATAAAAACTTGAAATTGTCCCCTTAATAGTATGTTTTCATACAATTATGTTTTATTGACATAAGAATCAATTACAGAAGAATTGGAAATAATTTGTAGCAATAATTTGCAACGCAAATACGATTTATTTATAATATGAAAAACAAAGAAATCCCTGTGGTTAAGGGTAAAAATGTCAAGATCGTGGTTTATATGAAGTAACACATACAGTATGGGCCTATACCGATATTCACTCTAAGGATTCAGGAAAGAAAATTCTTGTTTATTGCTAAAAAGGTGTCAAAATATAAGGGTGAATGAATTGTTCTTATTTTGAGACTGTTGTAGTTGTAAAAAAACATTAAGTGTTCCTTTAATAGGGGTTATTTAACCATTTGGCACACTCAGAAAGTGTCCCCGTTACCTTAAATAGGAGTGTCCCAAAGGAGGGGGTTCTACTTTAAAAAGGCCAAATTTCCACACACTAAGATGCCCCATACGAGACTACAGTGTGTCTTACGAGGCCTGATGGTGTGAAATTAAAACAGAATCAGGCAAAAATTGTGACAGATTTAAATAGTTATAATGATATACTGTAATGTATTTATGTAATATTATTGGGATACATTATATTATATGTATTTTTTAAGGAGCTATAGCAACCTTCAACTGGCATCTGAAATACTTGAACCAATGTCTAATGGAAGTAGTAGGCCTATTGGTGAAGAAATTGATAATATGTTTCCAGAAGACAATGATGATGAAATATATGGCAGCAGCACCGTCACGACTCCAGTTAAAGACACAGAAATTGTCGACTCATCAGGTAAAAATACAAAAATATTACTGTACATACTGTATCAATGTTCAAAGATATATTTAATAATATAAACATAAAAACAGTGCTCGAATAAAGGGACAAAGATGTCAAAATCATATCGGGCAACGCCTATTATGGAAAATAATATAGATACCTGACAATGAAAAGTATATTTCATAAAGATCTATTATTAACCTAAGTTACAGACACTATCAATTAATTCATTTAGTACAGTATATAAACAACAGCATAATTAAAAATACATCTTTTAAATAAACAAGGATTTAACACCCTTATATATATATATATATATATATGTATAATAATAATCAAAGGAAGGTAAATACAGTGTTAGAATAAGGACATAATAATACATCGTGTAGCATAGCTCTCAACGAATGTAGTCCTGTAAATAAATGAATAAAGAAATTGTGTAATAAAATTCCTCTGGCGGGATTCGAACCTGCGACCTCTCGCTGTCAAGGCGAGCGTCATAACCATTAGACCACGGAGGCTTCATGGTTGAACAGATTCAAATACCACCAGATACACTCCATTACACAATAAATACGGCTAGAAACAAATAGTTGCATATAATATAAATCAAGATAATGTCACTGTGCCCTTATCAATTGCCTCCGACAGTGTGCTTCTTGCAAAGATACCCCCGTCACTTGCTGAACCATAGTTGCCAACATCAATATATGTAAAGCAATAGTTAGCATCAACTAAGGCCAAAAGGACAATCGAAAAATGGCCCTTGTAACAAAAGTACTTTGAGCCACTGTTGTTAGGAGCTTGAATATGTATATTTTTTCCATCAATAGCTCCTAGGCTATTTGGGTAATTCCATCGGAGGTAAAAGTCGTTTGCTAACTTTTCCCAATCGTCAGGTGATGATGGCATTACCATGTAAATACCACTTAGCCTTTCCCATATTGCCACACAGACTTCTACAATGATCATTGACACTGTTGAAATGCCCATTCTATAGTTGTAATGGAATGATCCATATGAGTCACCGGTTGCTAAAAATCTGTAAATAAACGAATGAATACATATTAAACTGGTTAGATAAAACAATACATTGCCTCTTTTGCTCTTGTTTATTCCAATGTGATCCATTTTTAATGTGTTATGTTGAGTTATCTAATTACATATGTGTACAATTTACATTAGTTTATACATTAAACAGACAGATAGACGTTCTCTTGTTGAGATGGCTTTACTGAACCGCGTGTCTTGTTTAACAATATCATCATGGATCAAGTTCAAAATGGTTTCAAATTGTTCTTCCGTCATCCGAAAATAGGCAAAATACTGATCTTCAATTGAATTTAAATCGTTTGTTATCAGGGAGACAAAGTGGCCAAGTTTTGGTCTCTTCTGGTTGATAGGGTTTACCCAGATCTTTTTCTTGCTTTTTTCTTCACATTTCTAAGTAACAAACTCACAATCAGTTCATCCTCATCCCTACTTGAATCCATTTTTGTTCTGCTGAGAATAATTTAAGCAGAAAACATACATACAGTAACTATTCCATTTGCACTGACAAGGAAAACTGGTCTATAAAATAACAACAGTATGACATTAAATAATAAAATGAATTTAATTAAAAGAACTATGAATTTTCAATTATATCTAGTGTGCTTACAATACCGAATAATTATGTATCGCATGGTTCATATTTATTTGTCTGAAACATGGAAGGAACCAAAAACTAGACTATTTAAATGTAGGTTACTAAGGCAGATGTCAATGAACTCACGCCATCGGTAAGCTTAGCTTACGTACCGTGCACTTAATCATAGGCCTAATTTAAGCTGATTTGTATTTTGAGCTTTAATAAATTCTACTCAGGCCTATAATAGAATATGTGTAAATAACTAAATATCAAACTTACGAATAGAAATACGAAAAAATGAGATTAAAAGAAAATTTTCAAAATATAAACAATACGATGCAACTCGTGACGCAAGTTCCTCGTACTGCCTGCGTGACGTCTGCGTGATGCCAGTTACCGGAACGAAAAAAACGCAGTAGATTTAAATAGAATTGACAAATACCGGACGAGGAACCGGAACTGAAAACGGAACCTGAACTGGAACCTGAATAGATGTGAAAGGCGAAGTGAGGTGAAGTTAAATTTACCCTTTAGTAGGGATTTTAGCATGTCAGCAGTCATTCAATGAGGACGGATTCTTTGATTTCAATTGATTTATAAATTAAATAAAATTTTCAATAATTCCCAATGCAAAATACATTTATGAATTAATCACCATAATTGCCGTAACTCCTGACAATGCAGGAAAGTGCATATTCCAGCTATAACATGCCCATCTGTTGTCAATATAAATTACAATAGAATCCGTATCATAGGGGAATACCTTCGGGGCCAAACATTCTCTTTTTATAGGGATGTCCCCTGAATAGTGTACGCCTACAGTATTAAGGGCGTGGGGGTGGAGTGGGGTGGAGGATGTAGAAGCTGCAAATGTAAACATCTACCACAAATGTAAAAATAACCACATATGTAAAAACATTGTACCCACAATTGTCATAATAATCCCAAATGTCATAACATGTCAACATTATGTAAAAATTAACCACAAATGTAACAAAACTTAACCCACAACTTAGTGTAAAAATCTCTTTAACCACAAATGTAAAAACAATTCACCTACAAATATAAACATTTCCAATTTTATCTCGAATGTCATAACATCTCAACCGCAAATATAAAAACTCATTATAAGATAAGTTATTATTAGATGTATGTGTCTGTTTGTGTGCGAGGTTTTCCTATAGAGCATTAAAATCCTTAAATTTGAAAGATCCGAATTATATCAGTTACAATTTGAATGGTGTCTGCGTATTTTACCTGCACACAACTAGCTATCATTGTGTACATTTTTTACTCTGCCATATTTTTAACAAAAGGAAAACAAAAGCTAGGAATTAGAGGAACTGAATGTGTTTTTCGGGTGCAATGTTTCTACATTCTTTGTTATATTTAACTTTGTGGTTGATTTCTACATGTGGGCTCTAAGGAATACGGTTTATAGGCCTATAGTCCTTATCAGAGAAGACGTGTTTAACGACCCATCGGCGGTGCCTGAAACATTCAGCCATAATTGTGTGCTGGCTTTGCTTTCGAAACAGCTGTTTTAGATCATATCATTCAATTATCTCAAAATGTCTCAACTTTTCAACCCGTAGTTGAAATATTCATTACAATAAATTCCATTTTCAATTTTTAGTTTATTGTTTTATTTAGACATTATCTAGTGTTTCTAATGTGTAATAAAGTATTTGTTACCATTACAGCATTTATAAACTTTCAATATAAATTAAACATTAAAACATTGTACCAATTTCATTTCATTTTCTATACATCTGTGTATGCAAGCAATGCACTAAGCAAAATAGTTAAAATTGGCCCCTTAATAGGGGTTTTACCATGTCAGTCAATAAGAACATATTTCTTTGATTTCAGTTGATCTATAAATTAAACTAAATTGTAGAAATAATTCGCAATGCAAATACAATACATTTATGTTGGTAGGCCTAATAAATGTAATTAAAACAATATATTGTATATTCTTCCAGGTTCCAGTGCCTGACAGATATAGAAGAATGAATGAATAGAGTTAAACATCAGAGTGAGGGTTAGTATAGATTTCAATGGCGGATTCAAGGGTAGGGAGGGCAACCGACCCGGCCCCCTTCTCCTAAAGTTTTCAGAATTCGTACAAAAATGGAGGAAAACTGGAAATTATACTCAAATTGAAGTCCCGGGGATCTTCCTGGCGGGGAGAAAAAAACCAAAAAAAAATCGTTGTGGAAAATAAAGCTTTTTACAGGGTGTGAGACTTGTTTAAAGCCTTTCGAATCGCTAAATTGTCAGGGTTTCCTGCCCACAGGGGTTACCCCGGCCGGGCCCCCTGTGAGGGTTCTGGGTTGCCACTAACTCTTTGTTACTGTCGGAAAAATCATCAGTCGTTCGACTTGCAAATATTCAGGAAGTTGCCATGAATTAAGAGTGAAAATATACTGTACTACTTTCGGATAATATTTTAAATGTATCATTATTCTAAAGCATTATTTCTTTTTGAGAAATTAGATTGAAGCATTCAGCCTTAATAGTGTGCTGGCTTTGCTTTCGAAACAGCTGTTTTAGGCCATATCATTAAATTATCTCAAAATGTCTCAACGTTTTTTTTTTCAACCCGTCGACAAAGACTAGCTTAGTAGTTGAAACATTCATTACAATAAATTCTAATTTCAACTTTTAGTTTATTGTTTTATTTAGACATCTAGTGTTAATAATGTCAAAGTTGTACGTAATGAGTGTTTATTACCATTACAGCATTTATAAATTTTCATTATAAATTAAACATTAAAACATTGTACCAATTTCATTTCATTTTTTATAAATCTGTGTGTGCAAGCAGTGCCCTAAGCAAATAGTTGAAATTGAGCCCTTAATAGGGGTCTTAACATGTCAGTCAATGAAAACATAATTCTTTGATTTCAGTTGATCTATAAATTAAACTAAATTTATGATGGTATGGCATAATAAATCGTCAAAAACTTAAACGGTTGTCATCTTTTACAACAGGATCTGGAAAGGCTGTATAATTGATCTTCTACTTGGAAAATGTCTCTCAATCCACTTAGGTGTCCGGGTTCTTTATTATCTCTTAAGAAACTATTAGCTAATTTTGATTACAACATTGATGGTTCGTTAATTAAGAAGGTTAATGATCAAAAAGATCTTGGAATTTACATTGATTCTAAGCTTAATTTTAACAAACATGTTGACTATATTGTATCCAAGGGTAGTAGGATGCTGGGCATGTTTTGGCGGCACTGTAAAGAGCTTGACAGTAACACCAAACTTTATCTTTATATTTCTCTTGTTAGACCAATTTTTGATTTTTCGTCTAGGATTTATAATTCTATATGTATTTCTCAATCAAATAGAACGAGTTCAATCCAAATTTATGTATTTTATTAATTATAACAACGTTCGAAACAGCTGTTTTAGGCCGTATCATTAAATTATCTCAAAATGTCTTAACATTTTTTTTTTCAACCCGTCGACAAAGACTAGCTTAGTAGTTGAAACATTCATTACAAGAAATTCTAATTTCAACTTTTAGTTTATTGTTTTATTTAGACATCTAGTGTTAATAATGTCAAAGTTGTACGTAATGAGTGTTTATTACCATTACAGCATTTATAAATTTTCATTATAAATTAAACATTAAAACATTGTACCAATTTCATTTCATTTTTTATAAATCTGTGTGTGCAAGCAGTGCCCTAAGCAAATAGTTGAAATTGAGCCCTTAATAGGGGTCTTAACATGTCAGTCAATGAAAACATAATTCTTTGATTTCAGTTGATCTATAAATTAAACTAAATTTATGATGATATGGCATAATAAATCGTCAAAAACTTAAACGATTGTCATCTTTTACAACAGGAACTGGAAAGGCTGTATAATTGGTCTTCTACTTGGAAAATGTCTCTCAATCCACTTAAGTGTCCGGGTTCTTTATTATCTCTTAAGAAACTTTTAGTTAATTTTGATTACAACATTGATGGTTCGTTAATTAAGAAGGTTAATGATCAAAAAGATCTTGGAATTTACATTGATTCTAAGCTTAATTTTAACAAACATGTTGACTATATTGTATCCAAGGGTAGTAGAATGCTGGGCATGTTGTGGCGGCACTGTAAAGAGCTCGATAGTAGCACCAAACTTCATCTTTATATTTTTCTTCTTAGACCCATTTTTGACTTTTCATCTACGATTTATAATTCTATTTGTATTTCTCAATCAAATCGCATTGAACGAGTTCAATCCAAATTTATGTATTTGATTAATTCTAACAACGTTAATGGCCCCTATTCATCTCTCACCACTTCACACTAGAAGGGGCACGTTTGATATAGTCTTCCTTTATAAATGTTTTAACTCGCTTTTTACTTGCCCTCTTTTATCTTTATTTATGTTAAAAATACATAGACCCAATTCACGTAACACTGACTTATTTTCTGTGCCCCTTAGCCGGGTCAATGCTACTAAAAACGGTTTTATTCACAGACTCTCCTATAACTATAATACCATTACACGTAACGATACCACTATTGACATATTTTTTTAACAGTATTTCCACGTTTAAATCCAAAGTTGCTTATTCAGCATAGGCCTTCTTTCAGTTAAGCTAGGGACTGTCTATATTGTCGATTTGCTTTCTTTGTATGTTTTTGTTTGCATTTTACTATGTTTTATATATTGTATGTTTATGACATCCTGTAATGGGCGATTCCGCTGTTGGATGTAATTGAAATAAAATAAAATAAAAAAAATAAAATATTTTCCAATAACCCACAGTGTCGAAACGCCAGAGATCCCTTGACCCTAAAAATGCTACCTTATTTTAATGAAACCCATTCCATCGCTGTTTGAGTAATAGTAATAACTTCTGTTTGAGGACCCATCATTACAACACTCTTCTTTCAAAAAGCTCGGAAAATTTTTACCAATGAGGTGGTAATAAATTGTAATACATGTTTTTGTAAATTTAAATTCTAGAGCTCTATTTCCATACCCTCTTAAAAAATATACGATCTTTGATGTATGTTTTGAGCTATCATGCTTAAACAATAACATTAAATAGGCCTATTTTAACTTACTTTGTAGGCATAAATCTCTGTCCATACTATCAAATTATCAAATTTTCTTTGACAAAAATCTTGTATACAGGCTATATGGTCATGATGTGATGTCATCATGACATTATTTAGGCATATGTCACGTGTTTTTGTCAAATAAAATTAGATAGTCTGGACAGGGCTTTAGTGAAAATAAGACAAAATATTATTCTTAATCTAAACAGAAGCATAATTATTCCTTATATA